GGGTGGTTACTACAATTTGTTTGTATCTGTTGAAGTTTGCTTTGTTACTGAGTATGTGTTTAACTTTAGAGAAGGTTTTATGAGGTCATGAGTAGAAAGTATACTCTTTTGTGTTTGGGCAGAATGTTCTGTAGATATCTGTAAAGTCCATTTGAGTCACGATATCTGTTAGTTCTGTTATTTCTATGTTCAGTTTCTGTCTGGTTGACCTGTCTATTGAGGAATGTGGGGTGTTGAAGTCTCCTATTAGTGTGTGGGTTTTGATGTGTGATTTAAGCTTTACTAATGTTTCTTTTACATATGTGGGTGCTCTTGTATTAGGAGCATAGATGTTCGTGATTGAGACTTCATCTTAATGGATTGTTCCTGTTATGAGTATAATGTGCCTTTCTCCATCTCTTCTTCTAGATTTTAGTTTGAAGTCTGCTGTGAGACAATGATCTTATACCTTGTATAGATTTGTCACTTGTATTGCTTTAATAGAATGCAGATCTGCCAGTAGCCAGGCAGGAAGTATATGTATTGCTACCAGAACAGGAGCTAGAAAACAGTATTTTGAGTGAGGTAACCAAGACTCAGAAAGACAATTATCACATGTACTCACTCATAAATGGTTTTAAAACATAAAGCAAAGAAAACCAGCCAACAAATTACAATCCCAGAGAACCTAGACAATAAGGACTCTAAGAGAGACACACATGGATCTAATCTACATGGGAAGTTGAAAAAGACAAGATCTCTTAAGTATATTGGGAGCTTGGGGACCATGGGAGAGGGTTGAAGGGAAGGGGAGAGGCAGGGAGAAAAGCAAAGAAAAATGTAGAGCTCAATAAAATAAATTTTAAAAAATGCAAAAATAAAATAAAATGCTGATTTACCAGTAGCCAGGCAGGAAGTATAGGCAGGGCGACCAGACCAGGAGAATTCTGGAAAGAGGAAAGGATCAGTCTGCAGTTATCACCGACACACAGAGTAAGCAAGATGAGAATAAATTGCTGATAAAAGGTATCAAGGCAAGTGGCTAACACAGACAAGAACTGTGGGTTAATGTAAGATGTAACAGCTAGTTAATAAGAAATCTTGAGCTAATAGGCCAACCAGTTTATAATTAATGTAGGCCTCTGTGTGTTTCTTTGGCACTGAATGACTACAGGACTGGGTGAAACAGAAACAAACATCTGTCAACAGAAGTCTATTTTGTTAGATATTAGGATAATTACACTTGTTTATTTCTTAGGTCCATTTGATTGGAAAATCTTTTTCCAATCCTTTACTTTGAGGTAATGTCTGTCTTAGAGGTTGAGTGTGTTTCTTGTATATAGCTGAAGGATACATTCTGCTCTTGTACCCATTTATTAGTCTGTGTTTTTTATTATACGTGAATTGAGTCCATTGATATTAAGAGATATTAATGACCAGTGGTTGTTAATTCCTGTTAACTTTTGGTGGTAGTGTTTGTGCGTTTCCCTTCTTTGGGGGTTGCTGTTGTGAGGTTATCTGTTACCAGTGGTTTTGTGGGTGCAGTTAGCTTCCTTGGGTTGGAGTTTTCCTTGTAGTACTTTCTGTAGGGCTGGATATGTGGATAGGTATTGTTTAAATCTGGTTTTGTCATGGAATATCTTGTTTTCTCCATTGACGGTGATTAAAAACTTCGCTTGGTATAGTAGTCTGGGCTTGCATCCAGACAAAGGTAACTCTTATAAAATAAATATTTAATAACGAAGGCTCGCTAACAATTTTAGAGATTCAGTCTATTATCATCATGGTGGGAACCATGGAGTGTGCAGGGAGATGTGGTATGAGCTATATCTTTATATACTGGCCACAAGAAGTTGATTGACACTTTCAGTAGTATCCTGAGCCAAGGAACCCTTAAAGCCTGCCCCCATAGTGACATACTTCCTCCAACAACACATAAAGTAAAATATAAGGAGTCAGGCAGTGGTGATGCATGCCTTTAATTCCAGCACTTGAGAGGCAGTGGAAGGCAGATCTCTTGTGAGTTAGAGGTCTACTTGGTCTACAAAGGGAATTCCAGGACAGCAAGAACTGTTCCATAGAGAAATCCTGCCTCAAAATCAAAATTAATTAATTAATTAAACTTTTTAAAAAACACCATCCTTTAAATTTCAGCATTTGGTATCCTTAACATTCTTTGGTTTTGTAAAAGCAAAAGAAAGCATCCTATACTTTCTGCTTCAGTCAAAGTTGGCCACCTTTAATTTGTGTTTTGAGACTTACGATTTTATTTTGAGTTTCTTGCCTTGTTTTGTTTACAGTATTAGGGATGAAATACTGCAAAAACCAGATAAATAGCTATCCCCAGTCCTTTGCAGTTTGTAACTAAGTCTGGTTAAAAATCCATAGTTCTCCTGTCGTCTTCTTCTTCTTCTTCTTCTTCATCCTCCTCTTCCTCCTCCTCCTCTTCTCCTTTTTCTTCTTCTTTTTCTCCTCCTCCTCCTTCTTCTTTTTCTTCTTTTTCTTCTTCTTCTTTTTCTTCTTCTTCCTCCCTCTCTCTCTCTCTCTCTCTCTCTCTCTCTCTCTCTCTCTCTGCCTGTCTGTCTCTGTGGTGTGTCTGTCAATTTATCTCTCTATACATCTGTAAGTTTATCTCTGCCTATCATTCTCTGTCTCACTGTGTGTCTCTGTCACTCCCTGTCTCTATCTATCTATCTATCTATCTATCTATCTATCTATCTGTCGATTTATCTATTTCTCCTCTCCGCTTTCTCTTAAAAAGATATGGTGACATGTGAACCAGCACATCTGTAGATTTTATGACCATGCTCAACATCCCACAATAGAATCATTCTCAACCACCTCTCCTGAGCTCTCTTCCCATCTCCCCTTTCCAGTTTTCCTTTATGAGACTCTAGAATTCTGCTCCAAATGAAATCGGATACATTGACATCAAAAGGAAGAGACTCTCTGAAGTGCCCCTTTGTACCAGGGCCTGTGCTGGGTACTGTAGATAAAAAAGAGAAGATACTAACCACCTGTTCACACCCTGTGGAGCACTATACTGCAGTCTAGAGAAGAATCAACTCCTAGGCTGCCCAGGGTATAAAAGGAAATACTGGAGTCAGTGCATAAAGACTTTTCTATCTGAAGGTTTTGGGGAAAAGAAACACACATATACTTTCTTGATGGTTTCCTTTCTATATTCTCTTAAGATTTTTCTCTAAAGTTTTGCCTCTCATGATATTCCACAAAACCTTTCAGGCAATATAGGAGTTAGATTTAAAGGTCACATACCATTTCTTAGGTAAATTATTAAAATCAGAGTCGCCCTGACAACTGACATGCAGTAAATCTAAATAACTTGTCACGGAGCAAGGAAGAAGCATTTTTTTCTTCAGTTAGCTTCTTCATTGGTGGACTGTAACTTACAGCTGCAAAGAAAGGATCAGTCACATAATTACCTGTCTTGAGATATAATCTTATAAGGGATCTTAAAGGAGTCATAATCATAAAGTGCTGGAGAGTCCAAGAAAACAACAAAATTGGGTACTTAGAACCTATATGAGTTTATTAACTGCTTCGACCTTCTGCCCTGTATTCTCCCAGAAAGGGAAAGGCAATTTACGCTGACTTATAACTAAGTAATCATTTTAAACTAATATTCTGCAATCAGGAATTGTAAATATTGAATTATCTCAGAATCAGAGAGTGCAGTGTTGTTTTGGCATTCTTTGAGTCAGTTATAAGTTTGTGGTTTGGGCTCAGATTACCATAATTCTGTCAATATTATGTCAATTGACATTCAACAAGGCAATAGTGATGCTAAACCATTTTAAATTTTAAAATGTATTTTCTGTCTTGTGTGTGTCTTTAAACCAAGAAAATGGAAATTTATAACTCTTTCTCAGGACTATGAAGTCAACTTGTTTTCTGTATATAAAAAATAGTTAGTTGACTAAACTTTGAGTCTTCAGAGTACATGCCCATGTCAGAAAACTGAGGTTAGGAACGTGTGAGGAGAGTTAATCACTGTCCTAGGTTACCAGTCAGACCTAGCAAAAGATACTGCATACAGCATTTAGGTTGTTCTGCACTTTTAACCTTAGTTCAGCAAATCAGAAGATTGGCTATATGTCTTTGTAGACAAGATTGCCTTTCTGGAAATAGTTTATCTTAAAAACCATTAACAAGGCACCTGATCTAATCTAAAGCACTCTGAAGCTATTGCACAGCTGTTCTAGCAGTTGGGGAAAATTGAGTTATTTTCATAGGCATTGGCTGTGTATCATTTTTACATGCATTTTTATTCATTAAAACTATTTTTTTTTTTTTTGGTTTTTCGAGACAGGGTTTCTCTGTGGTTTTGGAGCCTGTCCTGGAACTAGCTCTTGTAGACCAGGCTGGTCTCGAACTCACAGAGATCCGCCTGCCTCTGCCTCCCGAGTGCTGGGATTAAAGGTGTGTGCCACCACCGCCCGGCTTCATTAAAACTCTTATAAGCTAACATTGCTGATATCAATTAGACAATTCAGCTTAAGGAAGAGTATTCTTCAAGACAATCCAGAGATGTAAATGCCCAGTAAGTCAGAATTTATTCATAAGATAAACACTGTGGTGCAGGGAAATTTACAATAGCATATATGAATTTATAGACAGAGGCAAAAGATATTCCAGATTCTGTAGCCTCGTGACTTGGCCTAATGAGTTTTCCCATCAGAGAATGTCTTTCTGGTAGGTTGGCAGCTTAAATATTAACCATAATCTGCTGCTCCTTTGACAATGGCACAGACACAACTAGACTGACTCAGAAACAGACACAAAATGGGAACACTGAATACTATGATAAGGATGTAGATGAGGAACCACCCAGGAAAGGATCCAGATGCTGGAGCAAAGGAGCAGGTCGAAGCTGGTGAATCCTGGGATGGCATATTGAGTCCTGGTGCTCAGGCAGATAGAAACCTACTCTGCCTTGTGAGGCTGTACACATCAGACCATGCGCACATGAATCACGTCTACCAAATATCTCTCTCCCTCAGGTCCAGGTGGACTCCGATCACTAATTCCACTTGGCAGATATTCTTCTCCACTCTTGAGTTCACAGGAAGTCTGGAGGTGCTCGACCTAAGTCAAAATCCACTGAGCTACTGTGCAGTGCAGAGCCTCTGTAGGACACTGAGATGCCCTGGATGCCAACTAAGGACATTGTGGTGAGTCTGGCCTGGGTTCTTCCCTGAAGCAGAGAAGGATGGCAGGAAAGCAAAGGCAAAAGCTGGACCTACAGTGAGGCTTTCTTTTAATCACATATTCATCCTCTTGCCCACACCTGTAACAGAGGCCTAAATGTTATGATAAAGATATGGAAGATGGATTCTATTCTTAGAGATCATGGACTACTGACATTTATCAAGGAGCCCCACTAGCTATTGCTAACAACAGGCCCATGAGGGCTACAGTGGAGCAAACATCCTGAGGAAGTGGCTGCAGGAGAGCTGAAGAGCACAGGGGAGGAGGCTAAATAAAGCAGAGGGGAGAAAGATCCAGGCGCAGGGAATGGCATCCCCATTTCCTCCTCCTCTCTTCCTTGTAACCAGCCTTCTGCTCTGTTTCTATGGACTCCATCTTTACTAAGATTTCCCATAACAAGTAAGTCATGTCCTTATTCTATGGCTGGCGAATGTCACTTCAGATGACTCTTGAAACACACTGGTGAGCTGTCTGGGTCTCATGGAGGTCTGTCATGGCCAGTCACAGCAGAGCAGTGGGTCTCAACCTGTGCTCCATGATTCTGCAGCTCAGCTGTGGGAAGCTTGGAATTATCCACCCAGATGAGAAAAGGCACTAGAAAAGCTAAGCACTGCTAACACCGCATGCCAGGACTCACAAAGGGAGACCATAGCACAGTTCCCAAGAGCTGTGATCCCTGGAGAATCTGACGGTGAGCATCTCCCATGCAGGCTTGTCAACTGTGGCCTCACATCCAGATGCTGTAAGGACCTGGCCCCAGTGCTCAGTGCCAGCTCCAGCCTGACTGAGCTAGACCTGCAGCTGAATGACCTGGGAGACCTTGGTGTGAGGCTGCTCTGTAAGGGCCTCAGGAATCCTGCGTGCAAACTCAGAATCCTGCAGTAAGTAAAACCCAGGATTTCCATTCTAGGCAGGGGCAAAAGAAGGGACATGAGGGAGTGAAGAATATGGAATATGGAAAAGAAATGGGAGGGGGAATGCATAGTCAGAGTGGCTCCTGACCAGCTGTGCCACTTATACCTGAGACTTGGGCAAGTCACCGTAGTCTGTAAAATTCAGTTTCCTCGTCTATCAGGTGTAATGTCATACCCACTTCATGGATTCTAATGACATAAAGTGTACATATGTAAAAACAAATACCAGGTAAGTAGCTGGGCACTGTGCAGTCATATGTATTAGCAAGGCTAATACATAATATTAATACTATATATATGTATATTATATAATATACATAATACATATATATTATTATATTATATGTATATATTAGTATACATAATATAATACATAAACCTTACCAGACTCCCAGGTTTGCCTTACTCCAGGACAGTGATTCAATCATTTATCATTCATGAATACATATGTGTTTGCATTCATATCAAGGATCCTCTGTGCTAAGCACTTGTCTAGTACCTAGGGATACTATCACAAACACGCATGACTCTCTCCTGCTAAAGCTCTGTGGGAAGAGAAAGATAAAGATCTCCCATCAGTACATGACAACATTGCCAAACTCTGCTGAACGCTATGGAGTCAACAGTATTGTGGAATGTATTGTTGTAAGAGGGTCTGCTTTAGTGGATGGCCCATGAGTTCTTTCCCTAGGCCTGATAGAGAACTGGACTTTGGTTGGGCCAACCTGGAGACAGCAGTCTAGGCAAAGGAAGAGTTGGAGAAAGCTCTAGAACAGAAAGTGGTTGAAGCCCTGGAGGGTCATGGGATTTCACTACAGGAGCCTGAGGTGGTTCTCTGTCCAGAATGCCTATGAGGATATGGCCATGACCTCCATCTGCTGGGAATGCTGATAGCAACTCTGTGATCCATTGTCAATATAAGTCCCCTCATCAATGTCTATGTTCCCTTCCCTGGGAGAGTCTGTTTCCAATGACTGACCTGTGGGGAGGGGTATAAAGGGCCAACCCCTCATTTCAGCTCTGGAAATTTCCAAAGGTCCTCATCTGGCTTCAGATCTCGTTGCACACTGACCACATTCCACTAGGACTGTGTCACGAACACATCTGTGTCTGCTAAGCCTGCTGTTCTCTATCCTTTGTCCTGGATTTGGCTCAAGAATAAACTTAATAAAGCCCCTCAATTTCCATCTATAGACAACAGCGTCAAGGATCCGGGACCCTGAGGTTTCATGATTCTTTTGTGGATCCCAGGAAAAATAGTTCCCTCTTGTGCTTGCAGGCTGGACCTGGCCCCACTCAGTGACCCAGTGATTAAGGAGCTCAGGGCCCTGGAGGCAAAGAATCCTCAACTGCTCATCTCCAGCACATGGTAAGGAGGGGACACAGAACTCCTACTGGTCAACTCAGCCTCTATGTGGCTGGTACATGACTGAGGTGGGACAGGTATCCTGAGGTGATGGGAAAGAGAAACAGAGTCAAGAAGAAACCAGAAACCATAGAAACCAATGGGGAGGTTTCATTTAGCTTTTAGCAAAAATAGAATTATATAACACGCCTACATAATTTCTTCGATCATAAAAAATAATGTAAAAGGTGAGTTAGAGGTGAGTCCTCTGGGCACAGGAAGTGTGACAATGGTAGGCACCAGTAAACCAAAACACTGGAACAAGGAAAACAGAAACTACACTTTCAAAAGATACAGAAATTCTCAGGGAACAAAAGTCGCCATGGGTATCACTGTCCCAATCCTAAAACTCAGACTCACACACAGGAGTATATGAATGTCTCACACACACACACACACACACACACACACACACACACACACACACACATTGCACTATGGGATATAGAGCTTCAGGGCTGGAAAGTCATTTTCCACCCCCAGGGGCTGTGTTGAAGCCCCATGCTCTCCCAGTTTAGTCAATTTCAGCAATGACCATGAATTCCTTCTGTGCTCAAGATCCCAGCTGCCATACCACATGTGACAGGGAGGGTCTCTACATAGGATAGCGATCCATTCATTGAACAAACATTTGTGCAAGACCCGCTGTGCATCATTCACTGTTTGGTGATCTGAGGGAACATAGGATAACAAGGCAGACATGTTCAACATTCATTATCTCAGTCCAGCAATGAGGGGATACTTGATTCCCCACAGTTCAAAGAAATTGTACTGGGAACCCTAGGAGTGCAGAAGTGGTCTGTCTGACTTCATCCAAAGCTGAGATGAGCTAAGGTGAGCTCTGAAAGATGAGAGTTGTGGGGTTGATAGGAGAAGAAGAAAGTTCCAGGAAGAAACATGGGATAGGGAAGCAAAGAGTGAGCAGTTCCAATGAGGGACAGAAACCATGTGTGGATACCATCAGCTCTGCCTCAACATTACATGAACCCTCCACAGAAATGCAGGTTTTCAGGCCAAACTCCATAATCTCAGATGGAACAGCTTTCTTCCATGAGCTTTCTGATTTAGCAGCCTGTCCAGGTGACACTTTAAAGCAGGGATTTGAAAGCCACTGGTCTAGATTTGAGCAGGAAAGGGTGACATAGGAAGGCCTGGAGGGGGACAGGGGCCACAGCAGGAACTATGGAACCACCCTAAGAACCTTCTGCTACTCCCCAAAGGAAATAAGAGTTGTTTCAGCACCTTGGTCATGATGGAGTATCCTCACCCTTTATTTATGCTCAGCTTCTATGTAGAAAATGAACTAGAAGGGACCAGATCAGAAGCAGGGACACCTGACAGAGGATGCTGCAGAGGATAGGACCCATGTTCACTCCATCCAGGGACAAGGGTGGAGTCTGTGGAGGGCGGGGGAGTTGTGAACAGAAAGTAGAGGGATTTAGAAGGTACTATCTAGGTGCTTAGCATTCAAGGTGAGTGATTGTTTGTTTTATGTGGCTATAACCCAATGTCTGACATCGGGTGCTTAACATGAAGAATTGAGATTATTTCTTCCAGTTCTGGATACAGGGAAGAGCCAGGGCATGGACCCTGCATCTAAAGAATGCTTCTTCCTGTTCCCTCTGATTGTGCAGCTGGGAGGGCTGAGAATGAGAGACCAAGGTGGCTTTTGGGACAAGTCTTGTCAGGGCACAGGAGTCTACTACTGTGATGATGCCATTAACCCCTTCATGACAGCAGTGCACTCGTGACCTCCTTGTGTCTTATCCTTCATCTTGTCACACTGTGACACTGGGGATTAACTTTCTAATGAATAAACACTGGGGAACACACTCAAAACAAAGGAGTGGTTGAGATGATCCCTGTTCTAGCACCATGGATGCCTGGGAGGATGGAGACTTTATAGAGTTCTGGCCCAGAGAAAAATCATGGAACTGAGTTCAAATTCAGATGAGTTGGATTTTATGTTGGGATATTGTGTACACAGCCCTGGCTTTCATGGTTTCTCCTGACATCTGAGGGAAAGAACATATCTATATGTAGGAAACCACATGTGATGATCCCTACGAAGAACCCGGAAGGAAAAGGAATGGGTAACAGAGTGACCTCATTCAAGCAACAGAGACCACAATCAGGTATGTGAAGGTTCAGACCCAGAGCTTCATGATTACCAAATGAAGGAGCATCTGTGGGAGGGTGTCAGCATTTCTTTCTTTATTTTTTTAGAATTTAATATACAAGTACTATATTTACATCATTTCCAGCCCTAATTCTGTCTGCTTCAACAATTCCTGTTCCCCACCAACAAAGTCTGTCTCAAATTCATGAGCTGTTCTTATGTATTATTGTTTATTACACGTGTATTTACACATGTATGCATATGTATAAATAAGTACAACTTGATGAATCCATTTAGTGTTGGTCATTTGTATGTTTTAGGTTGACAACTTGGGACTAGATAGCCTTTTAGGAGACTATTCCTTAAGAAGACTGATTTTATCCCTCTCTTACCAGCTATTAATTGCTTGTAGGTTTTCTTTTATTAAACTATCTTTTCTCATTTTACATGCCAAAATTCATTTCCCACTCCCTCCCCTCCTCCTTCTCCCTGCACCTTCCCCCTTCTACTCCCCATTCCACCCTCCATCCACTCCTCAGAGAGGATAAGCCTTCCCATAAGAAGTCAACAAAATCTAGCACATTGCTTTGAGGCAGGATCAAGGCCCTTCCCACTATATCTAGGCTGAGCAAGGTATCCCTCCAGGGAGAATGGGTTCCAAAGAGTCAGAACACTCAGTAGAAATAAATCCTAGTCTCACTGCCAGTGGCCCCACAGTCTGCCCCAGCCATACAACTGTTACCTGCATTCAGAGGGTCTATGCTGTATTCCTTGCTGTAAGGCCTTAGTTGGAAGGCTTATTATTAGCTCAGGTAAGTTACATAAGAGAGTATCCTCATCAGGGTCTTGTTCTTTTTGCTCACATTCTCAATTCTCCTTCTTTTCGACTGGATTTTGGGAGCTCAGCCCAATGCTCTGATGTGATTCATTGCATCTGCTTCCATCTGTTGCTGGATGTAGGTTCTATGATAACATTTAAGATAGTCATCAGTCTGACTACAGGGCAAGGCCAGTTCAGGCACCCTCTCCACAATTGGTTGGGGACTTAGCTGGGGTCATCCTTATAAATCCTTAGGACTTTCTCTAGTGCAAGGACTGTTCATAGCAGAATAATTCATAATAGTCAGAACCTGGAATTAACCTTCAACTTAAGAATTATAAAGAAAATGTGGTATATTTAAACAGTGGAGAACTACTCAGAGGTTAAAAGAAAAAAAAAAAACAATGACCTCTTGAAATTTGCATGCAGGTGGATGGAACTAGAAAAACTGCCCTGAGTGAGGTAACCCAGACCCAGAAAGATGAACACGGTGTGTAACCACTCATAGGTATTTACTAGCTGTAAAGCAAAGGATACAAACCTATAGTTTAAGACCCCAGAGAGGCTAAGTAACAAGAAGAACCCTAAGAGATACATACATAAGTTCCCCCTGGGAAGGAAAAGATCTCCTGACAAAATTGGGAGCATGGGGTGTGGGGAAAAGGGAAAGTAGAAGGGGAGTTGGAGGGGAGAAAGGGAGCAGGAAGGAGAGCTAGAAAAAAATGGGATGATAAAGATGGGGGAGGGACAGAGACAGAGAACAAGGAAAGAGACATCTTGATTGAGGGAGCCATTATGGGGTTAGCAAGAATGCTTATAGATTTTCATTTAGGAGTGGGGCATTATGAGATCTCCCCCATCCACATTAGCCTGTCAGCTAGTTCTGTCACTGTGAAGATCTTGTTGAGGCAGAGATATTGCTGAGATTTCATTGGTGGATTGTCCCAGTCATATACAAAACAAATCAAAAACAAATTATCTGCAACAGATGCTGTGGAGGTAGTTGTCGTTTGTATTCCTGTCTTTGGCATGGAACCGTACAGGCTCTCCAATAAGAGCAGCACCCCTTGCAAGACATTGCACACTTAGAAACCAGAGGAAATACTGTTTGCTTCTTTCCCAGACTTTGTGGGCTGCTGATGCCCCATTCTCAAGTCTGTGACTTGCATTCGGCTCTATACCAGAGCTCTGTGTCTCATTCCTAGCTGCTATGGCCTGGGACTCATCTCCCTATCCCTGCTCACCATATTATGAGCTATCTTCTTTTATTTTTTATCATACAAGTGAGACATACTAGGAAAATCAACACTTATGGACCAGTAAGAAAGAAACAATGCAGCTGACATGGAGGCAGGTATTATGGTGGGATAGTTGCTTAAGAAGCACAGCGGAAAGACACACACACACACACACATATATATAGTTTATTATAAATAATGTATATTAATGTATTCAATTATATGTAAATGAAAAGCATGCAGGTAGCCTGATGAGCAGTGATAAAATCTTCAGGCATGCCTCCTGCTAATACCTAGGCGAGAGAACCTGGAAAAGAGTTCAGTCATGGTCCAGCACTGGGAAAAGCTGGGGAGATGAGACTGACCTCTGTCTGGCCTTTTCTAGAGGAATGGTGTTCATCATTTACACCACTAATGACCTTTTACCCATCTTCCCCTGCCTCTCCAGATCACAGACACATGGAAGCACAGGGTACTGAAGATGACTTTTGGGGCCCTACAGGACCTGTGGCCACAGAGGTGATTGACAGAGAAAGGAATCTGTACAGGTGAGTGAGCTCTGCCTAGAAAAAGGTGACTTTCCCAATACGCTTTCCACACTTTAAAAAACTATTTACATTCCTCCTTTGTCATCACTGTCACAGTAGAGTGAGTCCAGGACATGAGATTTTACCACATACATTTCCCTATCTCTATGCCTCCATTTTAGTTCAGACAGGACCTCGTCTTCCATCACCAGCACACCATTACCACATCAACAGAGCTGTCCTGAATCCTTCATTCCATCTAAACGGTCTGTTCTCAACTTTACTCATTATCTGAAATGTGGACTGGTTGTTTTATTCATGGTGTAAGCAGCATCCCTGCCATCATTATATTTGGTTTCTTCAGTTTCTTAGATTTCCCTCCAACTCCTGCTTACTAACAACCCACTGGGACCTAAGAACATGAGGATGCATGCGCACTGCAGCCCTGACCTCTGAGAATTATAGTCTCATGAGTGATGAGTGACTATACCCACAGTCACGGTATCTGACATAACCTGGATCCTCCTCCAACATTGTCACAGTCACTGTCTCAGCTAGAGAAACTGTCACTTTAACTTCCTCCCACAGACTCTGACACCTATCCACCCACCAGTCACCAGGCAGGAAGAAAATCTGTGAAGATCTTGGTAAAGCATTGTTTCAGGGCCAAGGATTTACCACTAATAATTGCACACAGACTCTTATTTTAGGGAAATATATTCCTAAGGAATATAAACACTAGAATCTGAAGGAAGGTGTACCTTAGTGGTAGAGCCCTTGCCTAGTGTACACAAGGTCCTACATTGAGCCCCAGAACTACACACACACACACACACACACACACACTCACACACACCACTTTCATCATCATCATCATCATCATCATCATCATCATCATCACAGGAATAGCTAACTGCTCCAGGTGTGTGTCACCTGTAGTTTTACTCTAGAACACTCAGTACTCTCAGGTCTAGAAGATGGTGTTGTCATTACCCCTGTTTACAGATGAAGAAACAGATTTGGGGGTTAAATGACTTATTTAGTCAGAGATCCACCTACAGACCACAGAGGAAACAGAACTCAGAGTCATCTGGCTTAAGTCTGTTGTGTCCCCAACCCTTCACCTGGTCTGCATCCTGCAGGTGAACAGAGCTGGTGTTCACTGGTGTCTGCCTTTCCCTCTTCTAGAGTTCAGTTCCCTGTAGCTGGTTACTACCACTGTCCCAACATAGGACTCCACTTTGTGGTAACAAGGGAAGCAACCATCGAAATTGGATTCTGTGCCTGGAGCCAACACCTGGACAAGAGTCCCTTGCAGGACAGTCACATGGTGGCTGGGCCTCTGTTTGACATCAAGACTGAGCGGGGAGCTGTGGCTGCTGTGTACCTCCCTCACTTTGTGGATCTCCAAGGTAACCAAGGGAAGGATAGGGAGTAGGGTGGAGGCCAGGTGGTGATGGTGCATGACTTTGATCCAAGCATTCAGGAGGTAGAAACAGACAGATCTCTATTAGGTCGAGGCCAGTTTGGTCTGCAAAGTGAGTTCCAGGACAGCCAGGGCTACAGAAGAAAACCCTGTCTCAAAAAAAAAAAAAAGAGTAGGGTGATGGAAATGGAGGACTTGAGAGGTCATATAGGACAGTGTAGGGTGCTGGGTGATGAGGAAAGGTCTATGCCTTCCTTAGCACGGCAGAGCAGGTTGTGAACCCGGACACTGAGATGTTTTGTCATCCCTTTGTCTATGATGTATTTTCTTTGAAGCACATGTCTCCAAGCCTTATACTTTATTTTATGTTAACTAAATGAGACCCTGAGTAAAAAGTGATATTCTCAGTAGCTATATTAACTGGTGATTAATAAGTGCTCCTTACACAGCATATCTCACAAGAGTCCAGCAGGAAACAGAATAAATTGAACAATGTGAAGACATTGTTGGAAAGAAAAATAACAAGGATCATTTGGTACCCAAGGTTTACCACTACATTGCTACAGGCAGGGAGAAAATGATGTCTTTAGATTTCATTTGAGAACTCTAGCCACAGAATAATGGTGTCCTAAGGAAAGAGGGGAACTCATGAATTGTCCCAACCTCAGTCATCACGAAAGATTCTTTCAGAAGATAAACATAAGATTTGCTGTGTAAGGTCTCATGATGGAAACCTTTACTACAGATCTCTGGAGGTTGAGACAAGAGAATTTGGAATGCAAGAGGAAATTAGACTATACAGCCAGACTGTGATTAAGAAAGGAAAACACAATATCAAGGAACCTGGTGTTGTACGAGTGGCTACTGAGGTCAGTTACTTCTTTGGCTACAAGGAGCACAGGAATAAGTCCACCATAGACACTAGGAGAATCCAGCTCACAGCAAAAGTTGTTCTTGTTATAAAGGTGATGAGCAGCCACAAGAGGGGAGACCCAACATCTAAAGAAGTATTGAAAAGTAAAATAGAAACACAGGTGGCTCCAGCCAATAGGAGCACATTAAATAGAAAACACGTTAAGCATCCCCAGGTTAAAGATATTCATAGTTAACAGCAAGCCCACAAGAAAATAAAAGCAGATGAAGAAATCAAGCAGGAATAAGTTGAAAACCTAAAAGCAAATAAAATTAATAGTGACATACACACACAGAAGATCCTGAGCTCCTGAACCTGACGGGGAGCACTGCTACATGGATGGGGCCTCCCTAATGTGTCCATGGCCACTTCAGCAGCTCCACATTGAGCGCCTCGTCTTCCAGCAACACTTGCCCCCACTCTCCACTCAAATTCTTCCCTGCAGTCTTTCCTGTTTCTTACTCCCTCTCTCAGATCAGACAATTTCCCCACTGGATACTGTAAGGAAATGATTCTGTTACAGTGTATGGAAGCCACAATACATGTGGGAAGGACAGTCCCAGGGCCATGTGGTGGCACAGACTGTTGATATCAGAATTTCCAAGGCTAAGGCAGGAGAATTATGACTTATATCTACAAATATGCAGTAGGTCCCTGTATCTAGAACCCAGAATGAGAAAAGAAATGAAAGAACTTGGTAAGTCAGTTTCTTGGAAAAAAAAAAAAAAACCTTCTGGAATAAGCAATGAAAATTGCAGCACCCATATTACCAACAAGTTCTAGGAAAGTCCTGTTTAGCATTCACTCTATGAAAAGTTCTAAGTTATTAAAACATTTTAAATGCCATATTATGAAGGTCTCTGAAAGATTTGAAGAATATCTGTTTAACTGAAATATATCTCTTTATGTCTAAAAAACTTAATTAACATGACTACAAGCTTGACTACTATAGATGACTCTCTATTAACCTATTTTTAATTATACATTACAGTTTTAAACAAGCTGAAAAAACACAATACCTTAACCAAGAGCAGAAATACATATACATGGTATAACAAAATTAACCATGATCCATACCAATGCAAAGTATTCATCTCTATACCATACCCCCTTTAAATGTAAACAAACATTTATAAACAATATTTGGGAATATGGACATAGTTTACAACAACCCTAAGAAGGGAAGTTGGAGAGGTACAGCATCTTCCCAAATTTTGTCAAAATTGCAAAGCACAAAGCATGGGTAAGGCCTGGACCTGGCACTGGGACTGAATATGATTTGGGGACAGCCAGGGTTTCAAGGCCCCAAACAAGCACACAGGAGACACTGCAGTGCTGGCAGCTCCATCTGATACTGTTACCTCGCATCACTGATTGAAATTCCAAGCTACACCACTTCCTGGATAACCAAGGTCATGGTCTCATTCTTTGCTGCTTATTGATTCCAAGCAATCACCCAAGAGAAATAGAAAATGTTCTCTGCTAAACAATAAACATTGCAATTCTGTTTGCCGTGATGCAAGTTGAAGCAAACTCAGTGCTGAAAGGACAGGCAAATGGTGGGTGGCAGAGTGGTGCCTCCATTAGCAGGGGTCACATCAGGGTGACAAGTGACATTCAACATTGTGATTCTGCCCAGTGACAACTTGGCACACAGGTACATCACTTTAAATCCTAATTTTCTGACTCATGCCTCCGAAAATTTGGTTGTCCCTCATAATGCAAAGTACAATCCAATTACAAGGATTCATGGGTTAAAAAAATCTATGAAGACCACCTCTTATCTGAGATTCAAGGCAATGTCTTTACTATGAGCTCCAATAAAATACAAAAGAATTTACATACTCTCAACATACAATGACACAGAATAGACATCATCATACCAAAATGGAAGAAACAGGGCACACCAAGGAATTATCAGACCACAGCAACACAAACTCTTCAGCATTAACACCAAATCCTGCAACTTCGTATCCAGCTGTGGAGCTCATGATGTCATTCACTGGTCTTCAAAGGACATAGGTAGCTCCACCCCTCCAGTTCTATCACATGAAGCACACATTGCCTCTCCTTAGACCATCTCTCTACTCCTTGCCTAAAACTTTCTTAAGCAGAAATAATATGTTGTTCTGGCTTCTACTAGATAGAAGGATTCCCATTCCACCTTAGGCATCATTTTCAAAGGTCCATAGAATGAGCTCTCAGGCTCCTGGGAGGTTCTTTGACTCAGGCACATTGTCTCGCCTCACTGCTATCTGAAACTGTGCAGCATTGAAAAAGAACACTTAAAAGAAATTCCACGCTAGCTCAGAATTGAGAATAATAGATGATTATTTATTTAGGGGTAGACTCACAAATCAGAATCCTCTGCTGTAACAGAGAATAGGAACTGAATCCTGCAGCCAGAAATGAGGCCAGGTGCATGTTTTACATCAGCATAAATAATATCAGAGGCCACGCCCAAGTCGGCGGGTAACATAAAGGGTACTGGCTGTGGGATTTCCTCCAGCACAACATGACTCAGTGACCAATCAATCCAGCATCTCTCATGCCTAAAACCTATAGGGAAGACAGTGCCAAGTTCTGATGGCAACTTGAGGTGTGGTTAACCTGGCCCATAGCTGAATAATGTGCTGACCATGGGGAAACACTTCCTTGGGCATTTGCATTTGTGGAACAGGAAACACAACCACTTAATGTTTTCTGCTTTGAAATGAATTTTGTTCTTCACAAGGTGAGCCCACGAAGAGTTAGATTTTGCCCTCAGGACACCTTTCCTATTGTCACTGTGCTTTCCCTGCAGTGATGCTGATCTCTAATATTTACAACTGGATTTTTTTTTTAATCACGGTGAATGTTTTCTGTCTCAGAATTTTTCCTGCCAAATTAGTCTTTTATATTTTAATTGAACTTTACTCACATTCAGGGCATATACGCACTGAAACTAGTTTCTTGGACAAAGTGTCTCATGAATGGCACCTTTTACAGTTCTCAAGGTAAACCTTCCACCTCTCTGAAAGTGTCATGGACTGGCCACCACCCCCTCTCTCAGCATTCTTGCCTTCCCTGCTTCCAAAATAATGTACCCATAAGCTCTGATTTCAGCATAGAAGGGTTTTCCTAGTCCTATGGACCAAACTTTTCCACATTCCAGCGACAAAATACTTTCAAATGCCTAAGAACCATGTGACCAGGTTCATTATGGCAATGACTCAACTCCTGGTATCAATTTTCTATCCAAGATTACAAGTTATCCAAGTCTTTTAGCTCAAAAAACATATCTAAATAAAGAAACTTAGAGGAAAGATTTATTTTACCATACACTTCAAAGGAATAGTTCATCACGGCATGGAGATCTGAGAACATTGAGCTTGCAATGACTGATAAACTGTGTAGAGCATACGTCCTTATTGACAAGGAAGAGAGAGAGAAATATCATTGGAGACAGATGGTTTTTTAAAAAAGAAAAGAAAAATTTCAAAACCCAGTGTCCAGACCTTTCACTCCTTCTCAAGCAGTTCCACCAAATACAGCCCCCCATTCTCATTCTTTTTTTTTATTTTTTAATTTATTTATTTATTAAGGATTTCTGCCTCCTCCCTGCCACCGCCTCCCATTTCCCTCCCCCTCCCCCGATCAAGTCCCCCTCCCTCATTTGCTCAAAGAGCAGTCAGGGTTCCCTGACCTGTGGGAAGCCCAAGGACCGCCCGCCTCTATCCAGGTCTAGTAAGGTGAGCATCCAAACTGCCTAGGTTCCCCCAAAGCCAGTACATGCAGTAGGATCAGAAACCCATCGCCATTGTTCTTGATTTCTCAGTAGTCCTCATTGTCTGCTATGCTCAGCGAGTCCAAATTTATCCCATGCTTTTTCAGACCCAGGCCAGCTGGCCTTGGTGAGTTCCAGATAGAACATCCCCATTGCCTCAGTGTGTGGGTGCAACCCTCGCGGTCCTGAGTTCCTTGCTCATGCTTCGTCTCCTTCTGCTCCTGATTTGGACCTTGAGATTTCTATCCGGTGCTCCAATGTGGGTCTCTGTCTCTGTCTCCTTTCATCGCCTGATGAAGGTTGATATTCAGGAGGATGCCTATGTGTTTGTCTTTGGATTCACCTTCTTATTTAGCTTCCACCGCCATTCGAAATCTTAGTGGCTCTTTTTCCAGCCAAGCACAGTTCAGTTGAAACACTAAATCCACATCGTTGAATCTGTTCTTTCACAGAGGGACAGGTGGACATCTCTTGGTTCCATGTGGCCCACTTTCAAGAACATGGGATAGTCCTAGAAGTGCCAGCCAGAGTGGAACAGTGCTACACAGTCTTGGAAAACCCAAGCTTCTCTCCAATGGGAGTTCTACTGAGAATTATGCCTGCTGTCAGACATTTCATCCCCATCACTTCTGTTACCTTGATCTACTATTACCTCAATCTCAAGGAAGTCACCCTTCATCTCTACCTGATCCCCAATGACTGGACCATTCAGAAGGTAACACTGAGTACCAGAAATGTGGGGCTAGGGTGGATTGACAGAAAGCTTAAATGTAGCTATCCCCTTGGAGAGATTCTCCACCTGGGGAGCCCTAGTGTTTATGGGTTTGCAGTCTTCTTGGCCCCTTCACAACAGAGGTTCATCAACTGCCTTTAACATCTTATTATCTCTACACATCCTCTTTTCACCCATCAGAAGAATGGAAATTCTCCATATCCAACATCTAGTCAACTCCCTTCTTCTCTGTCAGGGACACAGTGGCCATAATGAACCTGACAGAAGCCAATAATTAGCAATCTATATGGCTGAATACAAGTCAGAAGAGGGAGGTGACATTACCCCATCACATAAAAATGTATTGATCGACCAACTCACCTTATTCAGACTAGTTAGCTGTTGTAGTCCAGAAGTCTAGTTAAATCTCTGTCTGCAATGTTCCCTAGGCCATTGATGAACAAGAAATGAGGTTTCAGTTTGTTCAAATACGCAAGCCACCCCCAGTAGACTCTCTTTACATTGGATCACGGTACATAGTGTCTGCTTCCAAGAATCTGGAAATCATTCCAAAGGTGAGCATCCAGGGGTTTGCTATTCTACAGGATCAGATGCCAGATTTGGGGCAGGTTACGAGGATTTACAGCAAACCTAGATTGGGGAGAAATGATTTGGGCTTTAGGATGAGCAAGAAAACTTCCAAGTTAAATGGAAAGCAATTTAAGGGATCACACAGAAGATCTGGAGAAATTAGTTTTAGTATATCACAGAGAAGGGCACAGCCTACCATGCAGCAAGTCCTAAGTCAAGGACTTCAGGATGAGCTCTCACTCATCGTGGATTGAATCTGAAAGGTCTCCTACAGGTGTAAATGTTGAACAATTGATCCCCAGTTAGTGCTAGTGTTTGAATCAAACATGTGAGGCCAGACAATCACAAGCAGGCCACTAGTGGAAGGCCTTGAGGGTTGTAGCCTCAACATGCTCCTCACCACAGACCTGGATTCCTGATCCTGATATAACAAGCTGTGCCAAAAAGCTCCTGCCATAAAGAACAGAGCCCCAGTTTACATGCGTTCCCCATCATGAAACTAAACAACATAAGCCCTTCCTTATGTTGTTTCCTGCCATGTTTTTGTCAGAGTGATGAGAAAAGGAATAGTATGTGGGCTAAGCTGGGCCCATTAGCATTCTCTATATCTTGTTACTATATTCTTTCTATGTCCCCTTCCACAATGTTCCAGCCTTCTGAGTAAAGATGTGCATTCAAAAGCTATGAGTTAACTCAATGCAAAAGACACTCAATGTCTAAGCCAGTATCTACTATGGTGTGCAAGAATAAGAAAGCACAGGGGTGTGGAAAATGCTTGTTCTCTTGAGTAGAGGCTTCTGAAACAGAATCTGTCTTCACCCCCTGCAGGAACTGGAGCTGTGCTACCGGAGCCCCAGGGAATCCCAGCTCTTCTCTGAAATCTATGTTGGCCGCATGGGTTCAGGGATTAAACTGCAAATCACAGACAAGAAGAATGGGAATCTCAAATGGGAAGCCTTGCTGAAACCAGGTAAAATTCATTTAGGTCCAGATACCACAAAGGTTGAAGAAGACATTGAGCAGGAAAGGTGTGTTGTCATTAATTCTTGGTGTCATGAAATAGTCAGATCAGTTATGTGGCTTTTGCTAGAACCAAAACAGGTGGTTAGAGTTAGAGTGAGAGCAATGGGGGAGAAGAGGAGCAGGAAAAGGTAAAGATCAGAGGAGAACAGAAGATGACCAGGGACAGAGGAGAGGAGAGGGAGAGAAGAGAGAAGGAGGAGAGGGTGGAGGTGGGAAGTCCATGCAAGATACTCTATTCTAGAATGTGCCTCCAGTGGTCCAGTTCCTCCAACTGTGCACTCTCATGCTTTCCAATACCATTCTGAGTGTCCATGCAAATAATAAATAAGAGTGCACTAGTGTGTGTGTTCATTCATTACACCACAGTCTTCATGACAGTCACCCCCAATTACTGCTGCAGAAACAATATTTCAAATTATGATCATGGAACACATTGCATCCAAATCACCGCATACCCTAAGCCCCATTTTCTCAGTCCTATATCGTGATTTCTACTCCCATTGCCCTAGAAATTACAGATTTTGAGATGCACAAAGCATCTAGTAACAGTTCACATTTAAATGTGAACAATGAAAATGAAGGGATTTTTCCATCATGAGATTCTTAATCTTAAATCCACACACATATTTTTAAAATCCTTTTGTCTTTTGACAATTTTATACATGCATACAATGCATTCTAAGAATTCCATCCTAAACAAACCTTATTTCCCTCCTGCTCCAGCCAGCCCCTCTTCTTTCTACAAATCTCCTCTGTACATTCATTATTGCTTGTGTCTGACAGAGTAAATCGGATCCTCTGTGTGCCTGTAGGTTTTGAACTACCCAGTAGAGATGCAAGTGAGTTCACCAGTGAGTACAGATGGATTATATATATCCTGTTCTCCAATCTATTATTTTTCAATAGTAAAGCAGTAAGTAGTACTGTCCCTGTGAGCTGCTTCCCCATGTCTAGGGCCCTATTTGTGTGGGTCCAGAGGCAGTAGGTACAGGTGCTAAGAGTTCATGATGGTCATGTCGTGCTTAGAAGAGAGCACAACCTCTTATCCATATTTTCTCCATATCTTCACAGCCTTTCCCCATATCTTCTGTCCCTACATTTTTTCCAATTTCTCTTCCACAATGTTCCTAGAGCCTCAAGGGGTGATTAATCATCTACTTATAGGGATGAGTACTCTACCATCCCTTATTCTCAGTATCCTGCACAGCTGAAGGTATCTGCAGTCACCTCCTTTCACAGCAAAGAGAGGCTTTTCTGGTGAAGACTGAAAGTAGCCTTTGTCTGTGGTATAAACATTGATATTTACAAGGGAATTGACACTATGTACCTTTATGTGGGCAGTAAATGTAGTTTTTCCTCAAGGGCCTAAGACCTTCAAAGACCTGGGTTTGTTTGTTTTAGTTTAAAATGCTTATGGTGGATTCTATCCTGTGTAGCGGGCCTGAAGTGTAATCAGGCAGCTACCGGGCACTCACATCACAGTTATGCTACATTGCTGCAAGGGATCATCTGACCTGGCAGCATGGTTGCTGATGTCTTTTCTTCCTCGTCAGCCTGCACAACATCATCGTACACTAAAAACTTAGCATCAAAAGGAAGCTTCCAACTCAGTTCCAGCTTGGAGTCTCTATACCATGTACCCAAAATGTGTGCTGTCTTCAGCAGTATGGTCTTATCCACTAGTTCTGATGGGGAACAGAGAAGAATGAATGCCACTGCATTGTCTTGGGAACCCCCATGGCCTCCCTGCCCAACAGCTCCTATGGAGATATCCCACTCCTGGAGCTGACTTTTGTTTGTGAAACTCACTGCTTCTAGGATCTCCCATTTGAATCTTCATAGGGTATCTCGTATTTTAATTCTTCTATGAATTTTGTATTGGGTTACAAATAATAGGTTTCATTGTGACTTTTAAATACTGTCTTTAATATTTAAAACCCACCCCCTTATCTCCTCCGTCCACAATCCTCTTGCTCTTTGAGCATTTTGACCCCACAGTATTCTCTCTCTTCCTTCATTTTACCAATGTGCTACTGATTGCATTTCCTAGCTCTTGTGAACAGAACTTTAATGAGCATGGTTATGAAAATGTCTCCATAATAGAATACATATTCCTTTGAATATATTACCAGGAGTGATGTGGGTGGTTATGTGGTAGTTCTACTTCTAGATCTTAAGAAGTCTCCAGAGTGATTACTACAGTGGCTGCACTAGTTAACACTTCCACAGGCAGTGTATTATAAGCAGAGACTGCTGTTTCATTTCCAAGCTATCCAGACCCGAATACTCACATAAATACTTTATTAATTACAACACTGTTTGGCAGGCAGCACCAGCATATTCCTAACTAGTTGTTGCATCTTAACTCGTTTCTATTATTTTATATTTTAGCACGAGGCTTGTGGTCTTTTTACCTCACATCTTGCTCCATGGGCAGCTCAAAGCTGCTTCTTTATTAACCATTGTTAAACAAAAACATATTCACAGCATAAAGATAGGACTCCCACACCATCTCTCCTTTTCTGTCTAAATAAAAAGGAAGGTTTTAACTTTAACATAATAAAATTACATTTAACAAAACAGGTATCAAGCAAGAATTGCAATTACAATATTTAGTCTTTTTGTACCTGGAAACATTAAAGAAAATATTCTATCTATTTTATCTTTGTGAGTCTAAAGCTTCATATCTAATGTATGTTTTATCATAAGAAAGAAAAACTAAAACTATTACTAAAACTAAAACTCTAACAAAGAAACCAGAAGGATATAATATTACCTAAGCAAACAGGAAGTTCATTGTAAGCAACTTTCAGAACTCCAGAATTGACAGAAACATCTCGCTGCCTGGACAGTCACCCAAAGTTCTTCTGTGATGTTGGGGAATCAATCTTCAGCCTACATGCCCATAATATCTGGCAAACTTTTCCATGAAGCAGGAAATTTGAGAGACTGATTTGCCTATATTGGCAGTTTGTCAGTCACTTTCTTCTGTGTCCTCCAGAATGTCTAGCAGAGTCCTTCATGAAGCAGCAACCCTGAAAGACTGGCTCATCTTTTTTTGACAAGTTCAGCAGTCATTTTTCTGTGGGTCTACCATGTCCAGTTTATTCAGATTACCATCAGGCAGTCCAGAAAAGAGCAGTTTTTTGCCCAAATGACTAACCTTTTCATATTCAAGGCAAATTCCATAATGAATTTCTTCAATACGCATAAATTTCCTTGAAGTTTTCACTGTAGGGAAAAGTCTAGGTTCTTAAATTCTTCTAAATGTCATATTCTGTAGGTTTTTGAAGTGTTGAAGATTATCTATCTCACTTAAATATATCTTCTGCATACCTAGAAAATCTAACTAACATGACTATAATTTTGGTATTATAAATTACTATCTAGTAATCTGTAATTTTGAATTATATATTACATTTTAAATGAGCTGTATAAATTTTTTTAAAAGGACATAAATATACATATAACAAAATTTACCTTAAATTTGTATCAATTAACTATTGTAGTAGTATGGAGCGGCGGGCTGCGTCCCCGGTACCTGGTCGCCCACATGGCTAGCTTTACCCGAAATAATTACACGGAAACTGTATTCTTTTAATCACTGCTTGGTCCATTTCTATCTAGCCTCTTCTAGGCTAACTCTCGCACCTTGACTAGCCCATTTCTAATATTCTATGTAGCACAGCTAGGTGCGCTTACAGGGAAGATTCTAGCCTACGTCCATCCTGGGTCGGAGCTTCATTGCATTTGTCTGCCCAGGAGCGTGTATCTTCCCCGGGAGTGGGGCATGGCATCTCTTTTGAGGCGTCTGCTCCCGAGAGGAGAGCTGTCGAGTCTCTGAGCTCACTTCCTCTTCCTCCCAGCATTCTGTTCTGTTTACTCCACCCACCTATGTTCTAAGTTATGAGGCCAAGCAGTTTGTTTATTAACCAATGAAATCAACAGATTGATATATGACACTCCCACATCACTTCCCCTTTTTCTGTTTAAACAAAAAAAAAGGCTTTAACTTTAACATAGCAAAATTACATATAAAAAACAGTTATTAAGTAAGAATTACAGTTACAATATTTATATCTACCTTATCTTTTATCATAACAATGGAAAACTATAACTATAACTATCTATCTATTCTTCAACTCCAAAGACTCCAGAAAGATACAATATTACCTAAGCAAACAAAAAGTAAGCAACTTTTAAAACTCTAGAAATGGCAGAGACATCTCACTGCCTGGACAGTCATCCAAAGTTTCTCTGTACTGTTGGGGCATCAATCTTTAGCCTTCAGGCCCATAGTATCCAGCAGACATTTCCATGAAGCAGGAAAATTCAAAATCAATCACTATCTGCTTGTTCTGAAGAATGTCTTGCAGACCCTTTCATGACTCAGGAACCCCGAAAGATCATCTCACCTTTAGGCAAGTTTAGTAGTCCTCTCTCGGCGGGTTATCTGTGTCCTGTTTATGCAATAGTCCAGGCAAGAGCAGTTTCTTGCCCAAATGGCTATCAAACTCCATAAGGATCCTCTTCGATGCCCATCTTCTTCCTGAAGTAGATTGGTGCTGCCAGGAGCAGAGTGTCTCATTGTCATGAAAAACCCTAAGTTATTAAAACATTTAAAATGCCATATTCTATAAGTTTTGAAAGATATGAAGAATGCCTATCTAAAATATATCTACGTACATCTAGAAAATATTAACTAACATGACTACAAACTTGACTATTATGATTATCTATTAACTACCTATATACATTACATTTTTAAATGAACTACACAATCACAATACCTTAATCAATATCAGAAATACATATACATATAATAAAATTAACCTTAAATCTCTATCAATAAAGCAAAATCTATACTAATGCAAATTATTCATGTCTATATTATATCCCTCCTTTAAATGTAAAAGAACGTTTATAAACCATATTTGGGAACATGGG